AGGTGGTGGTTGTAGTGATGGTGGTGATGGTGGTGGTGATGGTTATAGAGATGGTGGTGGTGATGGTAGAGGTGGTGGTTGTAGTGATGGTGGTGATAGTGTAGATGGTGGTTGTAGTGATGGTGGTGGTAATGGTTCTAGTGATGGTGGTGATGGTGGAGGGGATAATTGTAGTGGTAGTGGTGATGGGGGTGGTGATGGTTGTGGTATAGAAGTGCTTCTTTCTCGGAATTATACTCTGGTACAATAATGCAGCATCCCAACCTCAACTTCCTCCAGTTTTCCTGGGAACCAGTACTTTGAGCATGAGAACTGTGCTCGATAGAGTTCTCTTTCAGGTGGATGGGAAGCTCCACCTAGGACCTTAGCTTCTTCTCTGAAGGCCCAGCCCTGGGGCAGGCCATACTACAGACATCAGGCCCAGGAGGATGGGTCAGGGAGAGCCTGTGAATGGGTGCCATGGGGCTAGGAGTGTGTTAGCACCATGAGAGCCACAGTGGAGAGGATGGATGGCAGACTCAGGCCAGACTGGGGCTCAGGGGGCTGAGTCCTGAGGACCTACTAGGAACAGCCTGTAGGGGGCTGGCTTGTGGCTTTGCTCCTCCCTAGGAAGCAAACTTCCTTCCTTAGGTTAGAGACAGTGCTGTGCAGCTAACGTCCAGCAACTGCCTCTCTGAAAGCAAAACATCTTTAAAAGCCCTGATTTGTAGTGTTTGCTGATTTCTGTGGTGTAAATACTCCTACGATAGCTGATTTCAAGCTGCCGACGTGGTATCAGTGAGACATTGAGTTGGGAAGAGACGTGCAGTAGCGCGCATTATATAGTATTTGCACCATTACAGGTACGATAGCGGTAAATAACCTCAAGAGCAGAGATAATAGTAAAATGTAGTAAAAGAATCGGGAAGTGATGATTTTTAAGTGTTTATTATCTTGGTTTATAGTATAACGTATTTAATTGTAAGTTTATATAATTTAATTTTTAATTATGTCTGTGTTTAATAACTGGCTGGCAAACTTCCTGAACATTTTCACTTGGCTCTCGTGAGGTGTGGAGGCCAGCTGCAGCACACCACTGATGGCCTTTGCACAGGGGTGGCTGCCTGTGGGGTTGGGGACTAATGGATGTTGGTGGGTCTCTCTGTCCTCCCCAGGCGAATGTTCCCATTCCTGTCATTTACTGTGGCCGGGCTGGAGCCCACCAGCCATTACCGGATGTTTGTGGACGTGGTCTTGGTGGACCAGCACCATTGGCGGTATCAGAGCGGCAAGTGGGTGCAGTGTGGAAAGGCCGAGGGCAGCATGCCAGGTATGCGCCCCCTTGGGAGCGGTGGGCACTCTTTTTCTCCAAGACTGGGCGCCCCCTGGTGGATCCAGGAGGAACCCCCAAGTCCCTGCCCCACCCCAGGATTTAATTCCCCGTCTCATCCCCCCATCCCACCCCATTCATCCACTTCTCGCTTCCGTTCTGTCATCTCTTTTCTACTTTGCACTAGCTTGTCTTCTGCTTAGTCCTCTGCCTACACCTCCCCTTGCCCTGCCCCATCTGGTCTTCCTCCTGCAACCTTTTTGACATCCCCCTCAGAACAGGCAAAGAAGCCCCACACCATCAGGGGTCTGGTCCCAGGGGCTGCATGCCAAAGAGGTTCACTGTCTACAGGAAACCGCCTGTACGTGCACCCAGATTCCCCCAACACTGGAGCCCACTGGATGCGCCAGGAAGTTTCATTCGGGAAACTAAAGCTCACGAACAACAAGGGGGCCTCCAACAATGTGACCCAGGTGGGTGGGACTCCTCCTCAGGGGCTAGCCCTGCCCCCCCCCCATCCCCAGGGCTGCAAGGGGTCCTGAGGGCTGACTCTGTTCTGTAAGAACAGAGTGCTCTCTGACTCTGGTTCTTTTCCACCCACCTTGAGGGGAAGATGAGATGGGAGGAAGCTGAATCTCAGGGGCAGACAGGGGGTCACATTCAGGCCAACATGGGCTAAGCCAGCCTGGGGGTTTCTTCATGGAATCCCGAGCTGCCATCGCTTGTGTACTGTGCTGGGCGTAGAGTTAGAGCCAGCGGTCCCACGGAGTGGTTGCAGAGTTTCTCTGAGTTGAGCAATCCTACTAAAAGGGCCCTTATCCCTGAAAAGCTGTTTGTGCTAATACCTTGGTCACAGTGGACATCTAGGGGTAGGAAATGGGGCAAGAGGACAGAACTGGTGCTGTGAAGAGGCTGGGGACTGGAGCTGGAAGGCATGGGAGAAGTTACATGGGAGGTGGCAGGACAGGGGAATGAACGTGATGACCTCAGGGTCCTTTCTAGCTTGGCCATAGGGCCAGACTTGGGTGGGGGTGGGGGCGGGAGATCCTTCGAAATCCCTCCTCCCCACCCCCGTAAACATCTTGTTCTCTCTCCCTCTGTCAGATGATTGTGCTCCAGTCCCTCCATAAGTACCAGCCCCGGCTGCACATCGTTGAGGTGAATGATGGCGAGCCAGAGGCAGCCGGCAACGCCCCCAACGCGCATGTCTTTACTTTCCAAGAAACCCAGTTTATTGCTGTGACCGCCTACCAGAATGCTGAGGTGAGGGCTGCCTGGTTCAGTGTGGGCCTGAGCCTGGGATGGGGAGAATGCAGCCCCCCGTCTCCCTTGGGAGAGATTTTGGAAGTTCCCTAGGCCAGACTCAGAGCTCAGGTGACTCTGTTTCCCCTCTTTCTAGATTACTCAGCTGAAGATTGATAATAACCCTTTTGCCAAAGGATTCCGGGAGAACTTTGAGTCGTAAGTGCTACTGGGTTCAACTCGCCTTTGCAGAGGCCTCCTCTTGGTCCCTCCTGAGACTGAGGCTGTAGACATGTGCTCAGCAATTCCCTCGCTGCCCCTGAGGATGGGAGAGGGTGGGGTGGGTGCTGGAGGGCAGGCCAGGGAAGGAGGGTCTGGGGAGGGACTTGCAACTGGCAGGCTCGTAGGTGACCGGTTCTGCTAGTGACCCCTGTGTTCTTGCCGCCTATTTTTTTTTTAGCATGTACTCGTCTGTTGACACCAGCGTGCCCTCCCCGCCTGCACCCAACTGTCAATTGCTTGGGGGAGACCACTACTCTCCTCTCCTACCCAACCAGTATCCTGTTCCCAGCCGTTTCTACTCCGACCTTCCCGGCCAGGCCAAGGATGTGGTTCCCCAGCCTTACTGGCTGGGGGCTCCCCGGGACCACAGCTATGAGGCCGAGTTCCGAGCAGTCAGCATGAAGCCTGCATTCCTACCCTCTGCCCCCGGGCCCACCATGTCCTACTACCGAAGCCAGGAGGTCCTGGCGCCTGGAGCTGGCTGGCCTGTGGCCCCTCAGTACCCTCCCAAGATGGGCCCAGCCAGCTGGTTCCGCCCCATGCGGACTCTGCCCATGGAACCTGGCCCTGGATCTTCAGAGGGGCGGGGGCCAGAGGACCAGGGCCCCCCCTCGTTGTGGACCGAGATCACCTCCATCCGGCCAGAGTCTGGTGACTCAGGACTAGGGGAAGGAGACTCTAAGAGGAGGCGTGTGTCCCCCTATCCTTCCAGTGGGGACAGCTCCTCCCCTGCTGGGGCCCCTTCTCCTTTTGATAAGGAAACCGAAGGCCAGTTTTATAACTATTTTCCCAATTGAGCAGATGATGTGATGAAAGGAACAGAAACAGCGTTACTAGGTTGGAGGACACCAACTAACTAGACAACGGACTCAGGACTGAGCGGTCTGCAGCTCCCTCTGTCCCTTCTCCTTTTGTAGTTGGTCAAGGAAGAGGGGGCCCAAGAAGGATTCTGGGGTTCACTTGCTGCTTCCTGGCCCACAGTGAAACCTGAGAGGCATGTCCCCCGCTCCTTCCTTTGCCCTAACTATGATCATTTACCTGGTGCTGCTTCTGGCTGTGAGTTCCCAGCTGGAGAACAGAGAACAGAGAACAGGAGGCCTTGGACACAAAGGAGCTTCCTCTCTTCTGGGGGAGGGGGCTGGGGGTCAGGGGGCAAAAGCCTGGAACTGGAAACTCTCTTCCTTTGTGGAATAACTTTGAGCATTTTTGTTTGTGTATGTGTTAATCCCGGTTCTGAAAATAAAGATCCATGGATTTTTCTAACAGTCAGCCAGCCAAGGCCAGGGAGAGGACTCAGGGACTTTGGGGAGCTGGCCTGGGCCCCACCTGCTCAGAGACAGTGGGGTCCTGAGGAAGGGGCTGGGAAGGGGGGATGGTGCACATCTCAAGAAGCAAAGTCTTGGGGGGAGGGTGTGCGCATACTCTCTTCTTTTTTCTGTTTTTTGGAATGGGGGAGGCTATTTATTGTACAGAGAGTGGTGTCTGGATATATTTCTTTTGTCTTCATCACTTTCTGAAAATAAACATGAAACTGTTGAGCGTGTCCTGTTTCGGCGCCCGGGTGAGGGCCATGGGTGGAGACTCCACTGGGAATTGCGAGTGCACCAAAGCTGTTCTGTTGGCTCGAGAACAGAACCTGAAGTTCCGAAGAACCTGCACTTCCTCGAAACCTGAAGTGGCTTCACTCAGCGGATGAACTCAGTTATCGCAGGGCCACGTGTCCTGCCTTCAGCGCTCAGGTTGGTGGTTGATGCCACCTCTTCAGGTGTCCTGGGATAGAGAACCATCCCTGGGCCTGCGTGTGCCCCCTGCCCTGTGGAGGGGGTGAGAGGGCAAGGCCGGAGCGGGGCTGGGGTGGGGTGGGGACTCTTCGGGGAAGGATGGTCCTTGATATCTCTCTGCATTTCGAGCAACTTTGGCCCCCCATCTTCATCTTAGGGTTGTTCAAGGATTAAAGGAGTAAATGTAAATTGGACCACATGGAATTGCTGTTTTTATAAATCAAGAACAGCCAAATATTGGCAATTTTATGTGGTTCAACCTAATACATGTAAAGGGTTGAGAACAGTGTCTGATAACCGGTGAGCACTCAGGGTGTAAACTGTTGTGTTATCATCTTCCAGCTCTGCTTCTCTCTCTACACACCTGAACTGTGTGTGATACATGCTGCTTTTAAAGAATTTAAGCAATGCAGAAAAGTATAAAAACAGCAATAAATTATCCCAAATCTTACCACTCGTCAATAATTATTAACATTAGATGGGTTAGATAGAAATACTTTTATAAAATTGGAATCATACTGAAAATGCTTTTTCTTAATGAAAACTATTGAATTTTAGTCAACAGAATTTAATAATACCAAAAAAAAAAAAAAAACCATCAAACCATCAAGACCCCCAAAACTCTCAAGTGAATGATGGGGATTGCTGGGCCGGCCCCATGGCTTAGCGGTTAAGTGCGCACACTCTGCTACTGGCAGCCCGGGTTCGGATCCCGGGCGCGCACCGACGCACCGCTTCTCTGGCCATGCTGAGGCCGCATCCCACATACAGCAACTAGAAGGATGT